CAGGAGGATGAGGAGAGATGGGGTGTCAGCCGCCATCAACAGGTAGTTTGTGACCCTGACCAGAGCTGTTTCAGTGCTGTGGGCGGAACGGAAACCGGACTGGAATTTCTCAAAGAGGCCATTTAGTTGGAGATGGTCCTGAAGCTGGGCGGCAACTACTTTTTCCAGCACCTTGGCTAGAAATGGGAGGTTGGAGATGGGCCTGTAGTTGGCGAGGACGTCTGGGTCTAGGATGGGTTTTTTGAGAAGGGGTCGGATGACGGCAGTTTTAAGAGCAGATGGAACATGACCAGCCTTGAGGGAGCTGTTGATGACGTCAGTGATCATGGGACTTATAGCAGAGATGTTGGATTTGACAAGGGCTGTGGGTAGAGGGTCTAGTGTGCAGGTGGAGGGTTTCATCCTGCGGATGATGTCCTCAACCTCTTGCTGAGAGATCTCCATGAAGCAACAGAGCGGTTGGAAAGTCCCAGGCTGTGGGTTGACAGTAGGGACAAACACAGCGCAGGGGGTGGAGAGAAGAGAGCGAATAGTGGCAACTTTTGTCCTGAAGAAAGTAACAAAATGATTGCACTGCTCTTCTGTAGTGTCGATGTGTGAGGGAGTTTGTGGCTTGAGGAGATGATCAATAGTTGAGAAAAGCTGCTTGGAGTTTCCAGGATTTTTACTGATGATGTCGGAGTAGAACTGTGACCGTGCTTTTTTGAGTGACTTTGAATAGGTTTTTTGATGATCCTGATAGGCTAATCTGTGAACAGTGAGTCCAGGACAGTACTCAGGGTTTTATTGTAGAATTCCACTGATTCACTGACTGTTGTGAAATTTGCAGGGGGGGGGGATTTGCTGCAGGTCCAAAGTCATGATGTCTGTGTCGATGTGTTTCATATTTCTGAAATGGATTTGACGTTTGGGCTTGATGTGGTGAGACAATTTGAACTCCATTGAAACAACCTTGTGATCCTCACTCCCAGATTGTACACCAACAGATTTGTGATGGGGGCAGAGTCAGTGATGACCAAGTCAAGCGTGTGCCCCCTGGTGTGCGTGGGGACATCCACATGCTGTTTGAGGTTGAGAACATCCAGTAGTTGTAGGAAGTCAGCTGCAGGTTGGCGGGAGGGGGTGTCAACATGGATGTTCAAATCCCCGAGTATGACAGTATTTGCAGATGTGGTACAGATTGAAGAGAGAAGTTCATTTATCTCTGAGATGAAGGCTGGGTTTGGTTTGGGTGATCGGTAGATGAGAAGAATAGTCATGGGGAAAGGGGATTTGCATTTGAATGCAAGGCATTCAAAGGAGGATAGGTCAGGAAGAGACAAGGGGGTCAGTTTCAGGTCACTGCGGTGTATTACGGCTAAGCCTGCACCGCGACCAGTGAGGTGGGCTTTCTCCAGGTAATTATAGCCAGGAGGACAGGTTTCATTTAGGACTGAATAGGCCTCTGGCTGATGCCAGGTCTCAGTAAGACACATTAAGTCAATCCCCCTATCTAGGATGTGACCATGAATGAGACATGATTTATTAGTGAGGGATTGTGTGTTAAATAGTTCTATTTTGAGGCTTGATGAAATGGTGGTTTGTAGAGGAAGAAGTAGGCTGAAATCCACTCCACGTTTTCTGTCCCGCTTGGTGTATAGAAGTCGTGTTTCCAGAGCTACTACTAGTTCCAGGAGCGGCGGTAGTCTGATGACGTGGTAATAGTGCGACAGTGCGCTCAGTTGACCAGAGTGATGGAATGGAGTCTCCAGACTGGGAATAAACAAACTCTCTACGGGAGGTTCTGTGGATGTAGCGGCATCGGCGTAGAATTCCAAGTTGTTTAAGTGCTGAGATACAGTTTGGAGTGCTGTAATGTCTTAACTCAAGCAGCTGCGTGATGGAGTACTTTAGCGTAATGCCGGTCAGGACAGATGCAGAGTTGATAGCTGTTTGTGTTTGCCACGGACCTGCCGACCAGAGATGGGGAAAGAGCCAGAAACACAGAAAGATCCACAGCATGGCAGATGATCGAGCTGGGTGGAGAAGTTGAGCTGGAATTGTTTGTGGTAAGTGTCGCTGCTGGCGTAGCAGCTAACCTTAGTAGCCACTCGTAGCTCAACCAAGCTTAAACGTTAGTAGCTCATCCAGCCGACGAGGGATTTGCAGGACAGTGGAGTATTGTCTGGTTGACATAGACAGAGTGACATACTGTATGATAACCCTACAATACCTATTGTCTGAAGAAAGCTTAATTACAATTTAGAGCAGGGGTAGCCAACACGGTGCCCGCGGGCACTTGGTCGCCCACAGGGGCAACGTGAGTCGCCCGCGGGGCATGTTCTAAAAATAGCTCGCCAAGCAAATCCAAAATGTATAAAATACACAAAACAAAAAAGGAAATGTAATTAAAAGAATCTACCCTATGCATAAACGAAACCTCAATCATAGCGAGCTCTATCTACTTACTACAACTCTATATCTATCTAACACCCGTCCTCCCTTAGAGGGAGGGAGGGAGAGAGCGAGAGAGCTAGGGAGAGCACACCTTTATCTATTTAATATAGATAAAGTAAGAAATCATTCCAATGTGTAAAAACAGTAAAAAAAACAAAAAACAGTTTGAAAGGGGAGTGATTAGTAAAATAAGCATACATAAAAAGAAAGAATGCTAACTAGGTAACATAAGATAAGAATAAACCAGTTTAAATGATTTGTTATTGGTTGTGATCATATTCTAAAGATGTTTGGATTATTGAAAAGTATACAGCTCCCTTTCATCTGAGTGTTGAGAGCTGTTTCCATCAATTCATCTTGTGCTCAAAGTGCTCCAGATTGATGCATTTCACTTCAACATTTAAAAATAATCTTCACGGGGGTGCATGCCCCCCGACCCCCCTCGAGGAGGTGAGGACCCCCCTAGAGGAGGTGAGGACCCCCCTAGAGGAGGTGAGGTCCACCCCCAAATAAAGCAGGTTAAAATAATTATATTGCATGTATGTTCTTTTAGTAAACACTGCAAACGGGTCCCACAGACCCAAACAGCACACAAAGGTTAAAGGTCAGCATATCATAATGTTAAAATGTGCTAAATATATACACTACAAAAAAGAAAGAAAAAGAGGAGTAAAAGTAGCCCCCAACTTGTTTTATTTTAGCCCTCACCCTAAAAAAGGTTGGTGACCCCTGATTTAGAGCAATATAACATAACACCAATAACCTAATTTACTGCTTTTTTAGGTGCTAGCAGGATGATGTATTAAATGTTGCCGCTAAATCCACTTACTAAAACTCTTTAATTGTCTCAAATATAGAACTTTTGTATTTATTTTTGTTTATGTATTATGTACGTTTTTCTTTAGGGAAATTTTGACTTCTCAAGTATTTCAGTGAACAAACTAATAGAGGTGCACTTAAAAAAATTCACACCAAGGTAACTTCTTATTTTACTTTTTTTCTGAAAATGCAATACGACTAAATATTTAACAAAAAAAAACACATAAAAAGGAAACTACAACATACAGTATATACATATACATATAAAGAGTTTGGCTACTGCTGCTATGTCTTTTTATGCTGCTGCAACGCAAACATTTCCCAAATTGGGATCAACTTATCTTATCTTATATTCTACTGTGTACCATTGTGCATTACGTTTTGTTACTGGATGTGGATATCGTGTACACCACTGCACTTTGTATGCTGCTGCTAATTGGCCATCTTTGTCTGCAGACAGACTTTCCCATTGGTTGGGTTTTATATATAAATCTCTGCTTGGGCTGGTTCCCTCTTATATTTGCACATATGTGTAAAATACAATGTCTATATGGCATGCGCTCCCAACAGGGATGCGGGAAGGGGGGGTGCTGAGGGGGCTGCAGCACCCCCATCTGTTGGCGGAGAGTTGTAACTGCAACGCCAAAAAGTTCACTAAACAAATCAATACAAAAGTTTTATTTTTAGTTACTATTTTTGAGTTAGCATTTTAGTGTAAGCAGTCTATAAAAAAGCTTCACTATATAAGAGAAAGTGATAATGCGGTGGGCTTCTTCTGTTGCTCTGCTATAGAAAAGAAGGTCGTCAGCGCAGACAAGATCAGGGATGGGAGTTTTGTGAAAGCAGGGTTTAACAACTGGCGAAAGGCAGGGGAAACATTTAGGGAGCATGAGAAGTCCCATCAACACACAGGCCGTCAACAAACTGGCAGCATCTGCATCACAAGCTGTTGCTAAAGACCAAATGACTGCATTTAATATGACGTTATTATACAGGACCGCCCCTCCCTACACGCAGATCACGTAGACCCCTCGCGGATGGGGCCTCACTTTGCGGAGGGAGCTTCCTCTGAAGCGCAAACGCGGCGCACCTACAGTGTAGCAAGATTTTATTCAGATCCTGGTTCCTAAAGTGAGAACAGAACTGGGTAAAAAAGCTTTTAAATATGCTGCCCCTTCTGCTTGGAATAAAGTAGAGAAGGAGCTGAAACTCTCAGATTTGATCACTATGGGGGAGTTCAAGTCCATCTTAAAGGACAGAGAACAAGAATCTATTGGGCGATGTGATTGCTCGTATATCCCATAATTGAAGTCGTTTTAAATTGTGCCAGTTTTTAATGATTTATAATAGTTTCTTTAATTTGCATATTTACTGGTTAATGTGTCAATTTGTGTTTTACGACCGCTGTATTCGTCTGCCTGTATTGTCTGTGTTTTATCTGTTGTAACTTTGTTCATGCTGCCCTCTTGGCCAGGTCGCTCTTGGAAAAGAGATTTTAATCTCAATGACACTTTTACCTGGTTAAATAAAGGATATATATAATGCTCATATACATATTCTAATTTTACATTACATTTATATTTAATTGAGTAAAGATAAAACATCAACGCTGCATTTATATTTGAAAGTTCTGACTATAAATCAATAGTCACACATTTCCAGATCCAGATGAGCTCTGTGATCTAACCACAGACTGGATTAGGTGTATGATAGTCTGCTGCAGCACGTGTGAACTCATCAGATACCTTGAGCTCGATGGCTGAGATGTAGCCACTGCTGTCTGCGTCATAGCTCCTCCAGATCTACACACAAGAGACACATCACTGAAAATGCAACAAATATGAAATATACTAAAGTTTGAGTCTAACATCTGCAATGTTAATTACAACCATCACTATATAAACCATAAATACACTTATAATTCTCTACGTTTCTATAAAATAAAAATGAGTTTGTTGTGTAGTTGGTGCTATTCCAAAATAGAAAAAGCCTTTAACAACTCAAAAGGTTTATTAAACTCTTTCATATCACAATATTTGTTTTGCACAAGTGGAGATTTTGGAAAGGAATGAGAGATAATGTCATCAACAACTTTAAGAATCTTTCTACGGAGAAAGAATTAACAAAATCTAACAAGTCACCATCCATTCAGCATCACTATTAGATTTAGGTATTAATAAAAGAGCCAAACCTGGAAAGGGCTGTTTATTTTCATCATGTCTTCTTCAGCTCTTTTTCAAATCAGATGGTGTGTTGTGTTTTTCTATATTTCCTGAGCTTCCCCTCTCCTCTTTTTATACACCTCACATATATGTTGAACCTGTATCATATGTTGACCTTTGACCCTCACCCTCATGAACTCCACGCTGTTGTCCAGCGGTGTTTCTCTGCGGAACAGAAGCAGGAAGTTCTCCTCCTCTGGCAGCATAATGGTGGCCAGCTGGGGAAAACACATCAACTGTAACTGAAGAGGCTTTACATGATACATCAGTTTGAATGTAAATCCAAATCACTCTAGGATCTGGTGAAAGGGGAACCCTGTAATTGTCAGGATGGCTTAATGTAAGACTGTGTGTGTCCACCAACAACTGAACCTAACTATATTTTCAGATTTTCTTTCCAGGTAAAGATCTTCCCTAACACTTGAACCTTTCATTCTGAAGAGGTAATTTTGGCTGTATTTATTGTATCGCTGATCTCAAACTGCAGTTGACAACTGCAGGAAACTATCACTCTATCTCCTGAAAGAAGTGTTTAAGACAGATAATCTGTTTAGATGCAAGAGTAGAGGAAGTATTCAGATCCTTTACTTGAGATAAAGTACTAACAATGTAAAACTATTCCATTACAAGCAAAAGTCCTGCATTTAATATGTTACTGTAAGTAAAATAATATAAGAGGTACTTTATTGATCCCAATTTAGGACATGTTTGCATTGCAGCAGCATAAAAAACAACACACTGTAAGTATAATCGGCAAAGTGTACGCGCAGTATTGAATATAAAGGTACCCTAGCAAAGGGGGAGTGTACCTCTTGTATCTGCAGGCGTCCGTCAGCTGCGGTGTCGTACGCAGACATGAACCTTTCTCTCAGTCTGATGATCTTCTCCTCATGTATCTCCTCTCTCTGAAAACAACATGGACTTTATGGAGATTTCCAATGAACTCAGGTAGTGTGTTATTTGTTCAAATGTATGAACTGAATGATGAATGGATGTTTCAAAGTAGATACTTGGTTTAGTAAATCTATATTTCTAAAGCCGGGATGTGCACATTATGACATTTCTTACTTTGGTGCCCCCTTGTGGTAGCATCACATAAACCAGTGTGGCAGAGTGTTGCTCATTGATATCCATTTACAAATGAAAGGCTGAAAGCTATCTCATTTTATATAAACATGAGAATAAGTTAAAAGATTTGCTGATCATACAAGGCCAACTAGATGACATCGAAAAATTAAAGGTGTTTTTCTATGGTCACTCATAACTATATTTCATTATTTTCTATCAACAATTGTAGTAAAACTATAATAACACATAGCCTTATACGTAATCGCTTTACCTTCAATCCAAATGTTTCCAGCATGTGTTGAAAGAAGGCGTCCAGCTCCTTTCCTTCAATGTAACCGTTATCTTAAAAAACAAACATTCATCTTGTAAAATCAACTGGATAAAAACAAGGATAAAATGGAGGAAAAGTTGTTTTATCATTTTTTTGTTGTGTAAAATTGCTCGTGTGTAGATTGACAGAAGACCTTAAACCTTGTCTTGTATTTGTGTTGATATGTTTCTGGCTTGCACGTTTATCTGCTATGGTTTCATCCCAGTATAGCTGGATGTTTGAGCTTCAAACTGATTATCACTGATATTGTCAGGAAAAATTATTTAAAAATTATTTAAAGCAGGGGTCTTCAACGTTTTTCAGGCCAGGGACCCCCAAACTGATGGAGAGCTGGAGCAGGGACCCCCCTACTATATGTATGGCATACAATTGTGTTTTATATTAAACGGGGCCTAGTGCCGTGTATAAACATAGCTACTCTGTTATTGTACATTCAATACTAAGCTATTCAAATAATGACAGAGCCAGCGTGTGTCATGCGGCCTCGTGATTGGCACAGCAGCGATAGGGGCGGGTCCTCCCCTTTGTGTACAGGAGGCCTGGTGGGACAGGTCCGGGGTAGTCTCCTGCTGTGAGTGAACCGGCGCCTAGCTTGAGATAGCTACTGTGTGTAGCTGAATGCGTGCATTGCTGACTGAAAGATAACGTCTTCTGCCTCCATTTCTCCGTTCGCTACAATATGTTGGATTCATGTTAATGTACATTTAAAGAGACATTTCAATTTGTGGGAAAAAAATGTTTGGACATTTTTTTTTTTTTAAGAAATATAAAAAATTGTTTAATCAACCAAAGATTTCGCGACCCCCCTGCAGTACCTCCGCGGACCCCCTGGGGGTCGCGGACCCCCTGTTGAAGACCTCTGATTTAAAGAATCATCATCATTATTATTTCATTAATTCTGTTGTCTTTCCACTCTTGATAAGTTAATAATGATGCTGCTTAAAATCACAACAAGTATTTCTGGTTCCTGACAGCTTTATTTCCCCTAAACCTATCATAAAAGATGTTTTGTACAATACTTGTTTTTTTTAAAGGCAAGTAATAATAATAAATAAAACTGTAGTGAAATATATCTAACAAATGTTTGAAAATCAATTAATCCATTTAATTTGTACATATAATCGAGTCATCTGTAATTACCTGCATTAACCTGCATTTATATTGCGGTCGAACAGCTGTCTGTTAATAAGATAAGATAAGACTTTATTTATCCCCGTGGGGAAATTCAGGCGTTTATAGCAGCAACAGGGTCAGAGTGAAAAACAGGATTCACACAAGGTAATAAAGATAAAATAGAATACAAGTTTAAATAATGATACAATTTTTTTTTTTAAATAAAGTGATAAAGTTAGATAGTAACTGTTGAAACAAGATATCACAGTAAAACGTTGAGCATTTGAATGGACATATACACAGATTTTGATTGTTGTAATATCATGACTTAAAATAATATTGTCTTAACTATTAAAATAATATTGCACTATAAGTTAAAAGGGCCTTTAGATGTATAGTTGATCCTGTTGTATTCTACTCCATTCTACCCTTACAGTATATTTCTCTACTCTACCATATATTACATCATAACCATACTTTTTCCTATACCTATATAGCTCATCATAATTTAGCAGGAAATACTATATTATGTTAATATGTTTCCCTTTTTTGCATTGCATTCTTACTCATGTTCATTTATTTAATCATTATTATTTATTTTTTTATAAATAGAGGGTCTGTCACAATTTCCTATTCCCTTGGGATGAATAAAGTATTTTGAAGACATGCAATTGGTATGGTGTACACTGTTAACATAGACCTAACAAAACAACATACACCGACGCTATTATATTACAATTTATGTCTCCATTTGTTGTTCATTTTTTGTATTTTCTTGTCTTTTGTACCATTTATTTTTTCTGTTGACTTCCTCTATTTATCTGTACCAATCCTGTCTTTGTGCTGCTCCAATATTTCAATCTCCCCGCTGTGGATCAATAAAGGTTCATCTTACCTTAAACTAGACACATTTGCAGGTACAATAAACATTATTTACTCAGTTTTTATGCTGAATATACTGACTCAGAGCCATAACATCTTCTTACCTTCCAGGTCGAAATGTTCCCAGATCTGTAGGAAGGCGGCAGCGTCCAGTCTGTCCATGGTGCTGACAACACAACAAAGATAACAAGAAACCAAACACAGATGATCCGTTATTCTCTGAGAGAAAAAGTATTCTGATTCAAATTGTCTCTTAGCGAAATGACACTGAAGAGGGACCCAACAGCTTGTATATAAAGGAGGGAGGGGGAGAGAGTGAGGGGAAAAGGAGGGGAGAGAAACAGAGAGACTGAACAGTTAAATAGGATTTATTGGTATAAACATAGAAATACAGAAATATCTGACAGAAATGTCACATTTCCAGGCTTGTAGATCCACTGAAACACACAATAAAACACATTATTTACCAAGTCTTTAAAAAAAGATCAGATTTATTTTCAAATAATGTCAAAAATATTTCCCCATAAAATAAAAACCATCACCTTAAATGGAAACTAATGCAGATTCAACAGCATGTTTTTCTAGTACTTTTTTTTACAATATAAACCCCCAGAGTTTGTGCATTTTACTCTGATATAAACCCCATTTATTTTATACAGAACCATAGTGTTGTTAGCACATATTTACATTGATACATAATACATGTGTAAGTGCAGCAGTACATGATTTACAGAAATCAGTTTCTGTAAGAGACAGGTTGAAAGCTGAAGTTAAATATGAATGTGAAGAATAAAACATGTATCTTTTCATATGCTAACATGTTATCTCACAGTGGACATTCTGAATTGTGACAGCAGGAAATAAAAGTGTTCACAAGTCTAAATGTGGAAACAACTACAGCATAGCATTGTAGGTTATTGCTCTTGTCAGTGTGGTTTGACTTTCCAGGCACTATTAGACACCAGATCAGATATACAGTCATTTCAGAAACTTCTTTGAGTTTTTGTTACATAAACGTGGATGTTAAAATGAACAGTATGTATATATTTATACATATTATATAAGTCAGAATGACGACATGATATGAACACCACACAAAGTGTATGTTTTCAGTGTAAGAAACATCTGTTTAAAGGTGGGGTAGGTAATTTTGGAGAAACCAGCTCGAGTGCACTAGAATTTGAAAATACACAGCCGGAACAAATCTGCCACTTCCTTATAGAGCCCCTCCTCCAACACACACGAACGCGCACATGACCAATGAGGGCACGAGATAAGTTTGTGCACAGATGGAAGGCTGACAGGCAGGTAGGCCATCCAGTTATTTCAGCCGGGCCGGCTCAGATGATTGGTCGTGCTTTTTACAGTACTACTGCTTCCACAGATGACATTTTCTTATGGATTTTTTGTCAAAGCACTTCAGATATTCATTGCTATCGGGATGTTAAGAGCATTCCATGGAATATAACAAAAAATGTTTCTGAAATAAATTACATACCCCACCTTTAATTGAAAATAAACCTATTTATTATATTATTTATGTATTTTTTCAAAAATGATTTATACCTTGTTATTGAGCATCTTGAATTTGGAAATAGTAATTTCATAAAACAAAAAAAATCCCAAATCAAAGCCCACTTTCTGGCTTTTCCACAGTGTTCAACCACATCATCTTTAGCAGTCATGGACAAGATGGACATTCTTCAAAGATTAAGAGGGAATTTTTCTTAACATTAATTTGAACTTTTGATACATATAAAACAAAACAGTTACATTCTGGCTTTAGCAGCAGAATTATCTTTGTTTTTTTTACACTTTCTTGTTTTGAATTTTGACATTTTCTAATTTACAGACAGTAAATGTTTCAAGACGAGCGGTGAATGTTTACAGGATAAAAACATATTTATATATTAGAGCCTTATCTCCAGAAGACCTGCTGGTAGAAGTGCCCAGCATTGGTTCAGCTGCAGAGGGGAAACACAGTAAAACAAACTGCCTCCACCTGGACGTCCTCACAGAGAGACTCCTTCTCCTCAGTGCTTTGGACTAACTGACCTTTTTATATCTGGATGTGGTTATCTAACAGATGTCTCTGCAGCAGATACAACATGTCTTTATGGTCCTATTAGAGCTGTTGACAGAGGCGGTAATGGAGCTGTTCTGGTGTCCATGGCTGAGCAGCTGGCACTGATCCAGGGTCAGGAAACTGATTATAGCGTGACTCTAAATTATTTACAGTGTCCTCACCAGGAATTGTAAAAATGAATCATTGTCCACTGTCTCTGCCTTGACTGTTTGTTTGTGATAGGTTGCTTAGAGTTTTTCAAATGTAGAGGGAATCAGGATTTAAAAGAGAAGACATATTGCTGGTGTCAGACTGAAGGGGAGTCGTCTGAATCGTCCTCTGATTTGCTATCAGACTTCAGATCAGCGGTCCGAGATAAAAACTCCTCCTCAGCTGGACTGAGATCAGTGTCTGCCAGGGATGGAGGACTCACTGCAGGGAGAATAACGATGAAGAAAAAGCATGAGGGAAACAGCTGGACTGAAACAATGGAAGATATTTTTTTTCCTAACCTAGGAAATCGAAGGACTATAAAAAAAAAACTAACGCAGTTGAATGCACATTACTTCCCATGCGTACATGCTTTTTGACCTAGAACTTTAGATTTAAAACACACTACCTGCAATGAGAGCAGTGTTGGAATGTATAGTCGAGGAAATAAGTATTTGATCCCTTTGCCGATTTTGTAAGTTCACCCACTTACAAATAATTGAACAGCCTATCATTTTAATGGTAGGTTTATTTAAAAAATCCAGAAATTGACATTATATAAAAGATAAAAATGTATTTTCATTTAACTGTGGGAAATAAGTATTTGATCCCCTTGCAACCAACAAGGATTCTGGCTCCCACAGATGGTTACATACGTCCTCTTCCTTTAAGAAAGTACTCCTAATATCAACTTGTTACCTGAATAAAAGACAGCTGTCCACAGAATCAATCACTCAGATTCCAACCTCTCCACCATGGCCAAGACTAAAGAGCTGTCTAAGGACCTCAGAGAGAAGATTGTAGACCTGCACAAGGCTGGGATCGGCTACAAGACCATCAGAAGGCAGCTTGGTGAGGAGGAGACAACGGTTGGTGTGATTATTTGAAAATGGATGGGGAAAAAAATAGGCATCAATCACCCTCTTTCTGGGGCTCCACACAAGGTCTGGCCCCGTGGAGTATTGATGATCATGAGAAAGGTCTGGGATCAGCCAAGAACTACACGGGAGGAACTTGTTAATGATCTCAAGGCAGCTGGGACCACAGTCACCAAGAAAACTATTGGTAACACACTACACCATAATGGATCATTATGCTTTGGGGGTGTTTCTCTGCTAAGGGGACAGGAGGACTTCACTTCATCGAGGAAAGGATGCACGGGGCCATGTACCTTCAAATCTTGGCCGATAGCCTCCTTCCCTCAGCCAGGACTCTGAAAATGGGTCATGGAGGGGTCTTCCAGCAGGACAATGACCCTGAACATACGGCCAAGGCAACACAGGAGTGGCTAAAGAAGAAGCACATATAAGTGAGGGAGGGGCCTAGCCAGTCTCCGGACCTTAATCCCATAGAACATCTGTGGAGGCAGCTGAAGCTTCCAGATGCAAAGCATCAGCCTCAAAACCTGAAGGGTTTGGAGAGGATCTTCAGAGAGGAGAGGACCAACATCCTTCCTGGGATGTGCATAGGGGTGCATACCGGTTCCCGGTATTACCGAAATACCGGTTACTGGTGGCTACGGTATACCGTACCGAAATCAGATCCGGTTTTCGATACTTTTTTTTTTTTTTTTTAAAGTGAGGCATAATATCCTTAAACTTGTGCCCAAACCGTCGGGATGTCAATTTTGCAGTGAAACTCCGCAACCAAGTCACTAAATCTAAAGTGTGGCTGCATATGACTGCCAGTCTGAATGGTGGGGTCTGTAACCACTGCCAGTCTGAATGGTGGGGTCTGTAACCACTGCCAGTCTGAATGGTGGGGTCTGTAACCACTGCCAGTCTGAATGGTGGGGTCTGTAACCACTGCCAGTTTGAATGGTGGGGTCTGTAACCACTGCCAGTCTGAATGGTGGGGTCTGTAACCACTGCAAGAAGTTTATTTCTGGGAAAGATGGCAACACATCCAATCTCCAACCAATGCTGTCTCGTATGGCAACCAAGTACCTTTGTGTTCAGGGAAGCAGCGTGCCAAGCGAGAGAGTGTTCAGTTTAGCAGGTGAGACCCTACGCTGTGAAAGGGCCCGTTTGGATCCAGAGAGCAGATATGCTCATCTTCTTGAAGATGAATGCACAAAACTGAACTGTGATGGGATTTGTTTTCTTTCATCAGGCAAATGTTGATTTTAAGGATGCTATTTGTTTTATGTGCAATGCCGAGATCTCATGATCCTTTATGTGTTCTCTGGTCAGTCGAATCTCAGGTTAAATATTGATTACACTGGTGCTATTTTATTTTTCCATTGACACGATGTACTATTCCCGCCTGATGGTTGTTATAAATGATATTGCAGAATCAGTTTTCTTCATAGATAACGTGTTTTTCATTGTTTGTTCAGGACTAAAAGGTCCAAGTCCCACAATTGAATTTAATATTCATTTGACATGTTAACTATATAATAAAGCGCCTCATGGGAGTAATTGCGGGATGATAAAATGTTTCCCTTATGCAACATGAAAGTATCACGATATGTATCGGTTGAGTATCGGTATCGTTCAGTGGTATCGGTATCGGTATCGTAAAAAAGTCAACGATATGCATCCCTAGATGTGCACAGACCTGGAGACCAACTACAAGAAGTGTCTGACCTCTGTGTGTCCAACAGGGGTTTCTCCACCAAGAACCAACACATGTTCTGCAAGGGGATCAAATACTTATTTCCCTCAGTTAAATGCAAATCAATTGTTATCTTTTATATTATGACAATTTCTGGATTTTCTTTTTGATATTCTTACTCTCACTGTTGATATAAACCTACCATTAAAAATATAGACTGTTAATTTATTTATTTAAGTGGGCAAACTTACAAAATCTGCAAGGGATCAAATACTAATTTCCTCCACTGTAACTAATCACACTTACTCAGGTATTGTACTTAAAGAGGTCCTATTGTGCTGATGTTCAGGTTCATATCAGTATCTAGTGTCTCTACTGTGACATGTCTCCATGCTTTAATGTTCAAAAAGCTCT